ACAAAGGTCATTCTTAGAGATAATTGTTGGCAATGATGGATATTAATTGTACCTTAGTTGTATAGGAGCTCATATATTATTAATACCCACACAAAGAAATTTGACGTCTTGTCAACATAACATTTTATTTATTGTGATAAGTTGTGATTTCTCATGTGACCACCGCATACAATTTTGCAGGCGAAATACACAGAATTAATACTTAAATTAGAACAGACTTGCACTAAAATATATATCACACAATATGGTATTATTAAACAATGTTAACCTATTGTTATCGTTTTCCTGGTTAGAAACTAATTATTTTGGAGCCTCGTACGATGTGCACGTGGTCATAGTACTAGAGAAATAATAACAGCCAAGCTGCTTATTGGTTTATATCGCCAGCCTGTTTATTGGTTTGTATCGTGTCCTGCATTCTTTAGTGATTCTTACTGATTTCAGCTCTTAGGCCGCAGGGTTTACATACCGTATTGACAGGAATGATAGGCGAAAGTTCTATTTAACGCAAGATTGTATTTCATTGGAGATCAATTGCCTGTCTTCCTGGAGAGTGCTGTTCCATAATAAAACTACAGATGAAATTTCTGTATGTTCAATCACAGGTATAATTTCTTCGTCGTGTCCAAGACCCCTTAGCTGACATTTACTGAATGATCGATTAGCCGAAATAATTGTTCTAGGATTCAAAACCATTCTCGTTTCCCTCACTTTAATCTCTTTGGCTCAGAAGACGCTTAAAAGCCTTAGGTATAACACACAACAACATTATTCAAGCATTACTGCAGCATCTCTAAAACGCTTGTAAGTACATCTGGAGGCCAAGGTGGAGCATTCAAAAGACTGTGATTCCTTAAGGTGTCAGGCAGAGGGAAGCATTGCAAGAATGGAAATTATTATTCGTTATCAAGTACCTTTACTATACATGAGGATATTACATGTATTGTGCAATATTGCATGGGAGCCGATGTATTTAAGATTTTTTCTAAATTTATTTCTATAATGTCTCAGAATAGTGAATGATTTTGTTAATAACTTTGAACATAAAAATAATATTATTCCATGTTATTTATTGATACTTTCGTGACCTTCTTACTAATCATCTCCCGTAGGTAATTTTCCATTAACTATTCTTTCCCTTATTCTGTTTAACACTGAATTATATCACGGCGAAGCATACTTTCTATGGCAATGTGATACTGTCCTACTGTTTACGGTAGCGTCTGTAGTACTTATATTAATAATAATAATAATAATAATAATAATAATAATAATAATAATAATAATAATAATTATGAGGTCCTATTAGAACCAATTTTCAATTCTTTTCAATTAAAGTTTATTCACTTTAGAATACTATCTGCAATAGTGTCGTACACAACATTCCACTTATGGGAAAGTTTGAATTTTGTTGTGAAGGAAAGTTCACTGGCAAATGTATTCCTGTCGAGAATGTGTACTCTGAGCCACATCATCAGAGAGAAGATTTCTGGCTTTCCATTTGATTATTTTCATGTACATTTTTATCGGAGGTGTTTCCTGATGTCATGTGTTTGTTAATATGTATCATCTGCCTTCTATCATCTTCGAAGATGGAACCTGTTTTTGGCAGGTGCTTAGCAAAGTCCCGTTGCTGGCAGGGACGCTGTTGGCCGTTCATCACCACCTGCTCAGTGAGTTTGGCTCCCACGACGCCAGAGTTTGCGATCGCAGAGGCATTTTCGCACGAGTATGCACTTCACGTGTCCTAAGGAAAGGTGAACGTATTGCGATACTACGAGATCGACTTTTCTGTGGAGACCACGCTTTCAAGTATTTGCATATTGACGTGTCACTTTTATTAACCGAGTTTCAAGTTTTCTGGCTCTTTAGAGATAAGTGCTATGTTTCATGACGGTAGGTTAGCACCCAAGTTTTCTCAAAATACCTTGTTTGTAGACTCCATATCTGAAGGTGGCTCTTCATGTTCATTTGCCGAGTTGCGAGCTACAGCTCACACAATCCCGCGCAGCTGATGTGCTCGACGAACGATTGGTTCTTTTCAGGTGTCCAAAAGACCGACCCCGTGAGTAGGATGAGCACCGAATGTTCGTCGCTCGGCAAATCACAAGCAACTGGTCCACGCTTTTGCGGATTCGGCGAACGGTCGCTCACTACTCGCCTAATACCGAATTTTGAGGCCGCCTTGAGATAGACTTTGCCAGTGAAACCATCGTCAGCTGGTGTTATCTCAATAACGCCTTCCACTGCATCCTCTTGTCATGCTTGTATTTTTCTGGCGCCTTTTTTTTTTACCTTTTTTTCACCTTTAGTTTTCTACTTATTGTACTCCGTCGTGGAATATCTTACCTTTTGACCCTTTGGCATCAACTCTTAACTTCATAATCTGAGTAATTCTGAGAATCTTAGGAAGATTTGAATGTTTAATCGCTCTCTGATAGACATATACGTTCAAGAATTTCGAAAACCTTTGCAGTAATTTCATCAATTTATTCTTACCTGTAGTTAACGGAGTTTACGACTTATGAAATAACAATGCATTCTGTTTGGTGTTGTTTCAAATGTCTGTAAATTATGAGATCTTATACCTATCTTTCTTATTACGGAGAAAAAGTGCATTTATTGTTTCTGTGAATCAGTGGTATTATAATACGACGTCTGATAGTAAAGATCGATCAATAATCTTTACAAAAATGATACTATATTAAATTTAATATTGTTTCAGTGTGAACTCAAACGTCAATGGTTAGGCTATTGTTATCGATGTTTTTTTTAACAATTTCTTTATACACTACGTGGTGTGGTATGTTGAGGCGTTTCGGCACAGCCATTTCGGCAATTTCATCCTGCCCCGGAATGGAAGATTATTCATATAAGTAATGCGAATAAATCATAATTAAAATATTTTCAAAATAAATTTATCGTTATTGTGATTGTTAAATTAATCAATAATTTATTGATTGAATCAATGATTTATTGATAATTCATTGATTGAATTAAACAGAAATAACTATATTTTCAAAATTAACTATATGCGTAACATCTATCAATTCAAAAAAATAAAAAAAATAAAATACTTAATTGAAACACCACCCTCAGGGATTTCTGTCTACATTTTGTAACAGCTGTATTGTAATTTAGTGTTCATTAATATTTGTGGCCGCCTGTTTGTCTATTTCGGTCTATCGCAGCAACACGTCAGTCTGCCAATAGGAATTTCACTTCAAATTTCGCATCAAATAGTTTGTCAGTTATTTGGAGTGTTGCCAAAATGGGTTGTGTTTTTGTTTTTAGAAGACATGTTCACATGCATAGTTGTAGCATTCCACACGATGTTGTAATGGAGTTAGTAGTGTGCGAAAAAGACAGGATCAGGAATTGACAGATACCTCTGGAAGTTAGATGAAAATTATACTTTATTCAGTACACTAGCACATTTAATAGTTATGCTCATTTACTTTAAATTTACTCATTTACTTTAGTGATGTTTTCAAAAAAATATTTTAATACAGTATATTTACCGTGTGTGACTGCAATATTCTTAACAAAGACATTACATTGAATGACCTCCAGCTAATAAATCTTCGTCGCTAATGTTGCTGCCTTGGGATAGAACTCTAGAAAGAGGTCCAACAGCATATATTCGATCTCGTACGAGCATCGCCGGCAGTTTTCTGTGGTTTCTCCAATCTACACCATTGTCGAAGCTATTTAGGAGTAGTACCCTGACAAACGGGCCACGGACCGCGCACGATGTTTCGTTCCCGCTGTCCTATTTACACCCCTTACTTACATTCACCTACATGCATTACACTACCTCATGTCATGGGCTTGGAGCTTGTCCCGGATGGGGCTGTGCCCTGCTGGTGGGAGATATGTGGTTAGGGAAACACCATAAACCGACATTGGTTGACAGCAGTTCTCGCCATTAAACGGGGGAAGATCACCGCCACTTTCCGCGGTAAAACATACACTAAACGTACGGAACTAATGACCTTAGTATCTGACGCGCCCGGTAACACTAATCAAATAACCAACGAATCAATCAACGAGCCTCATATTTATTCAGTTAGTGTAAATCAGGAGGCGTTGGCTTCAAACGTTACAAATCGGTATTCGCCGCTCCGGATGGCCGATGAGGCCGGCAGGTGAGGCAGTAGTGCCGTAGCGATCTCGAACTGAAGGATCGCGGGTTTGACTCCTGTTTCGGGAATGGTTTTATTTGTGTTTATCTCTTTCACCCCGTATCATCACCGAATCATGACATCTTCACGGTTACCATACCGTTAAATGCAGAAGTGGTGACCTAGATGTTGATGCAAACTTAAATAACACACACAAACACACGCGGTATTGACATGAATGTGACGAAAACAATACAAAATTACTAACTAGCTTAGAGTGACATCTCCAGAGCTTTAAAGAAAATGATATTAATTTGAGTTTAAAAAATAGATTAGAATGGTACAAAAAGTGACTGGAGGGGGGTTCTACCGTGAGTTATGGACGCACGGGCAGGCTGGTGGACATAAACCTGTTACCCGATTACTATATGCAGGATTATTTTGTGCTTTGTATGGATGAAGCCGATGTCGCACGAATTAGCTTTTAAATGTTAATAAAGAATCTATTGGCAGGTGAGGACGAGTGCAGGACCGTACATGTCCGCCGGTGCGACACGACCATTTCCACAGATATTTCGTTGACGTCACCGCTACGCTTCCAACACACCCGCACTGTTCTGCAGTACCTGTTGCCCGTGTTCCAATCCCTGCCATTGTCTTGTGCGTGGCCTGGACGACTCCCGTCCCTCACCGCCACCGCGACCACCGTCGCCGCTGCCGTCGCCACCATTTCGCGAGTGAACGACCCCCGCGGGCGGCGGCCTGCCGGCTCCGCCTGCCTCCGCGCGCGTGTCGCCTGGGCATCTTCTCTGCTGGTGCGAGCTTCTACCTCCCAGTGGGTCAGCGCCGCAGCTGTCGCTTTCTCTCGAACTTGATATGGGCTCCAGACCCGTGACGTCGGCTCCCATTCACCTATCACGCGGCCGTGCAAGCCGCGTGTCACAAGCTCGCCCGGTCGACACGGGTAAGGGAATATCGCTTTTCCTTACGTCACTGCGCGCGTCGGTGCAATACTCGGTAATTGCAGGGGGGTGGTTACGGCGCGCAGTTGAACACCGGCCGGCGCGACGGGACCTGCAAACAGAGCACGGAGAGGTCCGCATGCGTCTGCAGCCCAGGTGACAGCCGAAAGCCCGCCACCCATGTCGCCAGAGTCCCCTGCCGCCGCGCTGTCGTCTTGCTGCTGTGGGCGTGGCCGCACTGGGGTTTGCGCGCCGGCCCGAAGGCGATACTCAGCGTCGAGGATGGCACCACTATTTTCTCTTTCTTGTTATTTATTATGTAATATATACATTACATCCCGAATATATATATATATATATATATATATTTATATATATATATATATTATATATATATTCGCAAGCAGTACACCAGACACTATTTATTATTAAGTTTTTAGAAATTACTCCAAATGAAATTCATAAAATTAGGAACAAAAAAACATGTATTTTTGAATTGTATTTGTATATTGCTTCTGTTTTTTTGGTTTTCTTTACCTCGATTTCTAAGTAAACTAAATAAAAATGTTTGTTTGGAATATCGCCTTAATTTGGCTATAAATTATTTTCAAAATTCATACTAAGAAACATCAAGTATTTTAATTTTTTATTATAATTTTTATCTTTGTCAAGGGGGGGGTATATAGGAGAAACTGTTGTACCTAGGGACACTTGTCATGTTTTAATTTTTTTCTCTCTTGATTTCAATGTGAAGTTGATGTTAACTTGTTTGGAATGCTACACATCTGAGCATATTTGTGTGTAATAATACTATTTGAAGAACATTCTATAGGTTCTTTTTTAAATAATTTGTTTGTGTACAGTGTGTCCCTAGGAGAATCGAACCGATGTTTCTAGAGACCCATAGTGATATATCTGGGGACAATGTAAGGAAAGTGAAAAAACGACAATAAATATCACAATAGCATTTGTTGAACAAAAGGGACTCTGACGTATATCACCTAATCCACTAATCAATTTATATTAATTTAAAATGAAATCCACCATCAAATTTATTACTCAAAATATTATTCATATAAATAATTTCATTTTAATCCATTTCATAAATAGCGTGTAAAAGAAACAATAAATTTTGCTGCTCTTAAGAACAACCAATCAGATTAAGTGTAGATCTACTTCAATTTTTGTAATATAATAGTAGTTAAAACAATATCAAGGAAAGGAAAAATTATACAGATTTTTACATTTCACTCGTCAAATCTTTTAAACTCTCATAAAATCATGGAAACTGCTCACGCTGCAAAATCGTTCATTTGAACAACCACAAATTTCAATACCAATGTACATAAAATAACAATGCAACATTTCTTTCATAGACTTCTCAAAAACTTGATTTGTCCCTAGGTATATCTGTACGACAGTTTCCCCATATATAAATCACAATTATAATTTATTATAGCTTTGAAAGCTTTATAAAACTGAAATTGGATTTCAGAAAGAAGAGAATGGCCGAAACGTACTTCCGGTACAATATTTGTATAATAAACTTTTGAATTAAAAACTGACTTAATTCTCTCCTTTCTTGTATGCATAGAAACATGGAGATATACATAAAAAATTGGTAATGGATTTTATGAGAATTTCGTGTTTATTGCAACATTACACCAATTTTCTTTAAAAGTACTTTGTGGCTGAAAAAGAGAAAACATTAAATTCAATAACTGAACATTTCAAATCGTCTACGAACTTCGAAATATTTTTAGTATTTGTTTATCGCTCACACAATTGAAACGAAAGACTGCTTTTTTTGAACAAAGGGTTAAAGCGCAAGCTCTGGAAACATTCCTTCTCCAGGCCATTTTTTGAATTTTGTAATTGCAATTGTTGTAAGCTCGTTCTACGTTTTAATCCCTCGAAATCCACGAATTCGCAACCTTTGAGACGTGAGACGCAAGATCATACTTTTAAATGCATTATTACTTTATTAGTTATCGTTTATCGTTTCACTGTAACGAAGTAAAATCAAGCATTAGATCAGGTACGTCTCGGCAGCGATATGATTAAAGAAGGCGTGTAGGAAAAATGAAATGTCAAGGAGTTGATTAGGAGATGGTAAAGTATCATTAATATGACTTTTTCGGTGTTATAAATTTATTTAGAAAGAGAAATAGAATTTTGAATCAAAATGGAATATTTTACTATCAAGATCTCAATCAAAATTTTTGCTGGCTATGCGTTGGTTAATTTTCATTTTTCTATTGACATCTTCCTTATTCCTTAACGCTGTTACAAACGTTAATATAATGTACATGCAAGGGCATTACTCTCCCTTTTCTATTTAGATATTTCCAGTAATAACAAGTAAAGGTGCGACACATTGAGAATATGTGTGACTAAGGAGAGTGTTCTCGAGTACAAATGCGTAGGTATATACAGGCGTGTCATGTAACGTTAGCACCTCCTGTAACTTTTGAACGGTTAAAGTTATTGCAAGCCAGTTTTCCCGGAAGTGCATGAGTGAATGGAGCTAATTGATGTGACGTATTTATTTCTATTTTATAAGTTATTTGAGGTAACTTTGATTTTTTCAAATGGAACTGTACATATTTCTTCGGTCTGTCATAACGAGCGTAAAAAGACAAACCCAATGATATGCGTATTATCAAATGTCAGATAAGCGTTTTTGAGTAATTTTGATTTTTTGCGGATATTTGATCTTGATGCTAACAACACTGCAACAGTTTGGTGAATATTTAGAATATGTTTGGTTTACTCAAATACTAAGATCCCTTTCCTTCCTCGAACGAGTGTTTGATGGTTGAGCCCAGCTTGACTTTGTGTGGTGGACTGTTACATTCAAAATATTCGTTAAACATCTGTCATGAATGAATGCAAAAATGAAAATTACTGAAAAAAATGCTTCTCTAACTTATGACAATATTTATATCATTGGATTCATCTTCCTTTAAAATTATTTTTAAAACCCTTTTAAAATTATTGGTACTGAAGGTTTGTGCAAAAATATTAAAATTGACGCTTAACATTTTTCAAATATGCGAGAAAACAAATAACGAATCAAGTGTTTTAAAAATTCAGATGTGTTAGAAATATCTTCGGTCCAACGTAATAACACAACAAGCTAATTGGTCAATAATTTACCTCTGGATATTGCACTGATTAACTCACCGACTTTGATTGGTTTGATAATTAAACGATGCTTAATAAATCTCGTAACATTAATTGAAGAAGACATTAAATTAGGTTATTACTCTCTTGAAGTGCTACACTTTGCTCCTGCGAAATGAAAAGACCAATTTCAGAATTAGAAAATATTTTGTTCATATGCTATCACGGTCTTCAAGGCTCTATGTTCTATTGGTAATTGAATGAATGCTATATAGTAACTTTCGCAAAGTACACAAAGATAAACAGAAGCTGTACCAATGAAATATTTCTTTGGCATGTACCATTGGTATTAAATATCCAAGTAACTTGTTTCTGATGGAAGAATTTGTTGCTTGTGTTGTTGAGAAAGATGTCATATTCTTCAAATAATGCTCTACTTCAAATCATGTGTGGTTGACAAGTTTTCTATTGAGACAGAGAAAATCAGCCACTGATTAGTGGCTGACTTAGATTTAAGTGGAGCATTAATAGAAGAATATGTTATCTTCCCTGACATTACTACAGGGAAATAACATTCCAATCTTCTATCACGCCAACTGGTGCTCTGAACTTTAAGTCTGGGATTGGGGTGAGCTTTTGCACACTGTAGGTCCTCCAATTAATCGCTCTTCTCTTGCCATGTCTGTCCGTTATTCATAAGATCTTCTCACCAACACTCATATACATCCTGATGAAAGCCACAGGATGACGACAATATTAGCCTGGATGTAAAATCATCCGGCATTCATTCAATCTGGCGGCGGAAACTTTCATGTTTCACTCACACTTTTATTACCATTCTCCGACTCTTGTACACATAAATATGATGCTGAGATGATAAATGGCATTCCTAAGTTTGTGTCAATAGTGAAAAATCTGAAGTTTCCCAAACATGTAACCCCATCGTTTTATTTCTCGGGGTACCCCAACGTCATGGACACGATGGGGGTTGAATCAATTGGGATTGGATGTGGCTTGCACTCCAAAGTACCTAATTCCAACACTTTTGTTGCTGTTGTGTTTGCGTAAAAGGTTTGTTTTCTGGTGGGATTTTATAATTGTTTTTACGCAATAAAGCGTGATGTGTTGCACAAGAGCGCCTGGAGTCCGACATGTTCAAATAAATCTGCACATGTGCCAGATCCAGAATTTTAAAACGATTTCAACGAATTAATAAGTTCCAAGTTTCAGTATGAGGAAATACCTAAAATACGCCCTTATCAAAATGGTGGAAAACTAGTTCAGTACAAAGGCAGGTGAAACGCCCGCACGAGCTACTTGCCCGCCTTGGAAGCCCTGTAAACACGGGTAACTTCCCCTGTCTCCTCTCTCTGTTCCCCTCCAAATCCAGAAAGGGATGCATGCATGGGGCGTGGAATACTGGCCTGATACGAACATATGTTTGCTAGAATTGTTTTATCAGACACAGATATTTAAATTATGTTTATAATCTTTACTATTTACTACTATTTCATGTTTATTTTCTTTTTATATTCTGCCTTGTTTAATCACTTTTCCAAAGGAACGGGCATGGCGAATTGATTGCTTGTTTTGAGGTACATTTTATTAAATCATTCAGTTATTTGCTGTATATAGCAATAATGTAAAGTTAGTTATCAAGTCTGTAAGTCAACAATTCTTGCTTACCGACGGGCAGCTCTTAACAGTGTATATTAAAAGTCCAAGCTTGGAGTTGATGCAATTGTTGCTCTCTTAAGTAGACACGATTACAAAATCATGATACTTCCGATTCAAAATTTTTATTTTTTCTCACAATTCGAAACCTGACGTGTTAGAACATTTTAATAGATCATTTCTTTGTTTTAGTGAAGGAAATGGGAATTAAGGTAGCTAAATTTTGGGCGATAGTTGTCAACTAACTTCTCTAAAAAATTGTTGTGGGTTATTTAACTACTGACGTACCGCCAAGTTAGATCAATTTGTACATCCCTTACTTTTAAATCTCGCGCAATTTGCTCTAGGCGCACATTCACGAACTCAAAGAAGCTAGTTACCTTCCCGTCCGCGATATCTCTGCTTTATTGTGTGCATCCTTATGTCACCTATCAAGTGCCAGAAACCGAATTCGATGCCTTGAACGTTGCCAGAACTATTTGGGGGGAACCAGCCCACTAAATACTTGCAGTATAAATGATGAATAATTCCCAAACTTAATACTTCATACCAGTATCTGTGAGCTAGCAAGATATCTGCTCGTAGCAAAAGTGTGAGCTTTACTGTCTTGAATTGGTAGGGAATGAATGGATCTTTACTAGAAATAGCTTAAATTTTTACAACCTTATAAAAAAATTAAAAACCCTTTAGGTAAATTTAACAATGGATAAAATTAACGTCATTGGACATCAGGCGACGTACTGAATACCAGTAGGAAGGAATATGTTCTGTTGCTTCTTAAAAATCCTTATTTTAAAAGTACAAATATTGACAGCAAGATTACATGTCAATATTTTGATATTTGAAAAGTCTACTTAAAGTATTGTTTTGTGCTTAGTAAGCAAAGTCAATAGTGCTAAGTCAATAGTTTTAAAAGTAAAATGTATATGTTTAAAATTTATATTTAAAATTGAGTTTTTAGCACATAAATTTGACTTTTATAACTACTGTTAAAATAATTGTTTCGTGTATCAAATATGTATCTTCAAATGCTGAAGAGGATCTCACATTCTGAGATTGAAATTCTTTCATTTAAAAAATTAAATTATCACTGAGCTAGCTTATTATTTGATTAATACTTTCCTTTCTCGCGCTTACTTCGCAAGAAGATAAAGGCCCATGTTCATTAAGCGAGTGTTGTCCGGTGGCGAGTGTCAAGTTTCACCCAACAAAAATGTCTAGTTTGTACTAGTGCTGATAATCTAGCGTTTTTTAAAATTTTATTATTTATGTATTTTTAAAGTTTTATTCATCTTTTAACTATTTATAGTTCAAATTTTGGGAAGGGGTACTTGAACTCGTACAAGGAAACGTGCGCAGTTGATTTTGTCCCTCATACATTACATACAGTTTTTTACAGCTTTTTGACTAAATAAATAAATAAATAAACGTCAATAATGATAGACGTTTTACTCTCAAAATGTGAGATCCCCTTCAGAATCTGAAAATACATATTGATGCAAAAAACTATCTGATCATAAAGAAATAAATTATGACCGGAATTATCGCTTATTATTTGAAGAATGCTTTCTCTTGTTAAGCAGTAATCAGGAAATAGTAAACCTCCATGACTATTATTTGAGTGGTGTTGTTCCCGCAGAGGCGGACGCGGCGGCGGTGACGTCGAGCGCCGTGCCGGCGGCTGGAGCCGGAGCGGAAGCGGGGGCGGGGGCGGGGCCGGAGTACTCGCCGGCGTCCGAAGCGGAGCCCGTGCAAACCAACGAGGATCCCTGCCTGCGCGCCGGGGGGCTGTGCGTGCTGGAGAGCGAGTGCCCGCCGGGCCAGCTGGCGGCCACGCGCGGCCTTTGCCCCGCGCAGCAGGAGCGCGGCGTCGAGTGCTGCCACGGCCGTGAGTTGCCCGCAGCACGCGACCGCTTCCTGCAGACCCTACTTCCTGCCCGGTCCTTTCCGGGGTGGCGGCGGAGATGTTGGGGGAGTTCGTAATTAATAAGGATAAAGGATATATTGCCACAATAGGTTTAATGTTATTTAATTTTAAAACCTTATTTAGGTATGTTCCTGAAAAATTGCCACTGATGATGTGATAAACGTGTTCTCCAAACCTGCCTGGATAATGGTTTTAAATTAAATATCATTGAAACTCTTGCGCTTTAAATTTCTTATCTTTATTAAATCTGCCAAATCACGTTTGCGCGCTTGGTACGCGTGCATGTGTGTGTGTGCGCGCGCGCGTGCATGTGTGTGTGGTTGTAAGACGTTTATGATCCAGTGTTTTTAAACGAAATTGACAGTAAGTTATATTGGTAAATGACCCCCATTCCTATCAACTTTGTTGTCTAGTTTCCGCCATCTATTGAGCAAAGGCTGAGGTGGCGCTGTTTTCCTTTTGGACTTGAATGGAACTTCACTATGCAAACGATTCACCGTAAGTCGGCTAATTCTGAATGGTTACGTGGCTATGTGAGATACTTAAAAGTGCGGACGATTATTTTGACAGGTTGTAAAGCAGTGCACCAACGAACACCACATCCTCTCTACCAAATGTGTTATTCCACCAAACAGATGAGCGCTGGCTGATCCAACTAAGATCCAACTTCGGTTAGCGTCAGTCCAGTGAGTGCAGTTTAGGAGTAGGAATAGTTCTTACGAGTCATTTGGTTTGTTCCGATATATTTATATATGTATATATTTATATATGTATATATTTATATAGGTGACTCCACACATTTGACCAGTAGCGAGACCGGTTGCGAGAGATCTCGAGTAGCCACGGTGCTAGGTGAATTTCAACTTCCTTTGATGTGGACAAAAGACCGATTCGCTGCTGGTAAGAGCGGCTCCACACATTCGTTATCCGGCGAGTAGCGAGCACCCACTCACCGAATCCCAAGTAGTGTGAATGAGTTGCTTGCTAATTGCCGATTGGCGAACATGCGGTGCCTGCCTTGCTCACCGGTCGGTGTCGGTCTGTAGGACACATCAAAGGAAGCGAACATTCGCCGAACACATCAGCTGTTCGCTATTAGGCAGGTAGTAGCTCGCTGCTCGCCGAATGCCAAATGTGGGGCCACCGTAATATCTTATATGAATATTGCAACTTTTAAACAAAGAATAATTTTTCTTTAAGTAGAAGTTCTGAACAAAACTTCCTCAAGTTTTAGCAAAATAATTACTTTCGCGCGATCATTCTCCTGTTAGCAGAATGACAGAAAAAATAGAAATCATCCTCATCTTGTAATTGCCACACCTAGTAAGTTATGCCACACCTTCACGAAAATCGAGATATTCACATTTGGAGGACACATACAGTGCTATTGTCTCGTTTCTGCCCCAAGCCCTTCAATTAAAGAATGGTCTCGTGCACTTTAAAAACGTCGTCTCTATCATATCCCCCATGCGTCATGACTACTCTGCTGTGGAACTCGCAACACCCTTCGCCTTGCAACGTGCTGCGCGCCATGTGGGCGGGGTCAGGGCACGGCGAGATGCTCTGTCTGCATTCCGACATGCTTTTTGTTGCGTTCATTGACCCATGCCAGCATGTTCAACCATGCGGACGATAGTTGAGACACACGTTTCACTAGGCGTAGGCTTACAACGCACACAACCGCACCAGTGAAGTTATTATGAATCATCCTAAGAAACCTTACGCAATCAGATCCTAAGAAACATTTAAATCTTGTGAAGTTTCGGGTTTCCGACCATCATCCCTACATATGTGTAGTCATGCCTGTTTCTTACTATTGTAGACTCACTTGAGTCTTATTTCCCTTTTCTGGTAATAGTAATTACAACGAGTATATCGACCAACTGAGAAAAATGTCCCATTGCTTTAATACAAAAAAAAAAAAAAAAAAAGTGATGTTTTGTTCGTGAAAAATAAATGATCTTGTACGCAAATGTTTTTCATTTTTCGTGCAATTAAAAGCTGATTTTGCCCCTATTTAACAACGTCACTAGTCCTCCTTATATTGTAATACACTATTGTAAAATGAAAATATTGGCATATCATTCACCTAGGTCGAATTCGCTCGATTCACGTTCTGTGTTCTATGTGTTGAACCTCTCACCACGTGATATTAATTCTAATAGATACATAAGTGATTAGTTTGAATATGGATACGAAATCCCAGAAAAAATGGTTTTCGAGTCGGCAAGAGAAAAAACATCTGCCTATAGTAGGTGAATATTAATCCATTTCTTACTCTTTACTAATGTATTCATATCATGACAAGTGTGTTTGTCGTCGCATGTTATTGTTCATGTGTCAAATCCTTATGTCTCCCCCCTCTCACACGAAATAAGAGAAAGGCAAGTTGCCAGACATATTTTTAAGTGAAATATTTATTCAAACTCTTTCATTCTATCAATTTTTCTTGTTGTAGAAAACGTTCAAATCTAATTTTTCATACGTCTGTTTTATGACGAGATGCATACTTCAGTTTTTGAGAAAGGCAAGTAATTCGGTTCATATTTCCAAACTAAAGAAAAACTTGGTTGAGCTTGGCTACTGGATTGTCTAAAACTAACTATGATGAAACTATGCAAATACATGATAGATTACTTGATATGTTCCGTAACAAAAGACCCATTGGTAAAAAAATATGTTTTAGTTACACTACTCTCCCTCGACTAGACCCAAAAATATGTTTTAATAGTTATTAATCAATCGCTCTTCACTGGGTTATAGTTATTAATCAATCGCTCGCTGGGATTTGATGACCGAGTTTCAAATTTGAGTATGTATAACGGTGTTTATATTCCTGTTGGTGAAAAAGACAGGTTATTCGGTTCATGTCTCGAAATCGAGCCGGCAGGTAAATTTGACATTAGATTGCGTATTACTTCGAAATAACGTTGATTGATTCCATTCGTTTAAGTAATTTGTCGCTCGATTAAAATGGCTTTGTTTTGTCACTCTTTTCAGTACTAATGGAACAGATGCATTGTATTTTGGTGTTTAAATTATGAGAAAAACCATAAACCTTGAACCACCAATACATATAATTTTACGGTACATATTTCTTAATTAACGTATCTCAACAACAATACGAAATAAGTCATCTGCTACCTACCTACCTTTTCGAATCGCTTTAATAAAGACTATGATTGTGTTTCTTGAAAGGGATAATTTCACGCGTGTTGAAAATAGGTTTATTCTCAATCGTAATTTTAACGATCTTTCACGAACAGGCTTCTGAGCGTTACATATGCTGCAATGTGTTGCATCCAATGAGCGAATTAAAAGAATGATGAGACTGACCCAACCTCTAACTAGTGGAACAACAACAACACCAACAACACACACTTTGTCGTATTATATATTATGTAATTTTCTAAATGTCGCAGAGTTACCACGCAAATTAAACCTGCAACATTTGCTCAATCCGAAGAAAAAATAAATAATAAAAAAATTGAAGTGAAGTTTGAGAAATTGTTTTTAAAATTGCTGTTATTTCATGCAAAATTACACGAAAGATACCTTTCTTTTGAACAAATTATACACTTCTCATCTAAAGATTTAATTTTGAAAAATAAATTTCATGAAAGTAATAATCGCTACCTTCAATATCATGGTTGCACCAAGACGCAGAAAACATTTTTAACTTTTAGAATTTTCGAAAAATCAAGAAATTCAACGAAAATCGTTCCTGCCCGATTTTTAATCACACTTTTCTCTATATGATACAAATAAAGACAAAAATTGGTACCAATTTTGGAAAAATGTTGAAAATGCCTTTGAAGCATCATGAAAAGCACCCGCGAATCAAAATATGTTTCAAATTCGAAGGCGGAGACATCAACCACATGGACCAGTGAATATCACGTTTGGTCAAAATCCTGTGTTCCATTTAGATGCTAGACTTGTTCACCGACAGATGAGCAGATGAAGATACGTTGTGCCGTAAAATTAAATTGTTCTTTATCAAAGGTCCAAGAAAGGTCAATTCTGACTACATAACGTGTTAGGGAAAGTTGTTTTTCACAAAGAAACAAGAATTATCCAATCTTTCGATGCGAACCAACAAAACGGGTTATAGAAAATGAATGGCATACTATAGTGAATTTGAAACTGTTTCTTACGAAATATTGTTCGCTCACAAAGTCAAGATTAGTTGCAGATCACAATATCTTAGTTTAATAGTCGAATGACTGTTTAAAATTTTAAATTTAACTTACAAATTTAAAAAAACGCTTGCTTAAAAATGTAATATTCCTCTTGCAAAGTGTAGCGTAAATCCTTTGTGTTCGAATAGAATTACAAATTTACAGTATGATTAGTAATCTTGTAGATTGTTTTAGAGTCACCTTGACATTTATCAATGCGTGTGATTTTCTGTCATCTGCTAATTGTGTGTTCTTCGCATTCTGAAGAGTCTTTTATATTCGCTTATATATAATATTTATAGTCGCTCTCGTATATTATTAGTGTCTTCGAAATCTAACTGCATTGCTTTAATAAGTCTACTTTATCAGGTGTCTCAGGGCCGCGTTTTAGAGAAACGTTGTGTATACAAGTGTTTATAGATGCGTTAAACCATGAAAAGTCATAGCTTAAATCTTCTTTAGAGATATGAGAAAATATTCAATCTAATCATATAAAAGACCAAATATTATGAAGCGCCAGATAACAGAAGTAGTGCAGATACGCTATGGGTTATTACATTGTTCTTGCACTCAAACCTCTAGTTATGAATATAGGTAATTTTTTTCGTACATGGCAAGTGGGAGAACTGGTGATATACATTTCTCTTCCCACAGCAGTACACAAATGATAACTCGCGTGTGTTACCTAAAATTCAAACGTAAGGAGGTCGACTTCACATATTTGGACGATACATCTATAAACCCTTTAATAACTGTCTGTCTTTTGTTCGAGAGCTTATGTCACAATCTTCTTATTTTGCTGAATTAGCAGTATTAACCAATTGTTTACTAACATTATGAAAAACCACTGGCGAGTTTTCTGCTTTTTTTTCAATATACATACTTAGAAATTTGAAACGATAGTAACCCATGTACATGGTTCGATTGTTATTGCCCTAGATACGAAAACTTTTCATGTCCTTCAGCAGGTTTAATTCGTACAACTGTAATGCCACTCTTGACATGAGTTGCGGAAAAAATTAGAGGTCACATCAGTCATGAAATTACATTTTGAACAAAGAAAAAGATATGACGACAGATTTAACGGTGGAGACTTCTGTAATGATGACATCCTTTCTTCTTGGAATTTGGAATTGGCTCACATTTACCGAATTAAAATTTTCATTCAGAACTGGCAGTCATTACAATGCCATTTATAATTGGTAATATAGATTACACATTTGAGAATGAACTCTTAAATAATGAATATTTAAGTTGTCAGCAGAAGGTTGATGAAGTGAGGAGAAATAATTTTGTAATGCGCACTAAATATATGCCTTCTGCTGTGCAAAATGTTATGCCGGAAAGACAATATACTAGTATCTCACAGCGTTTCATCACTGTAGGTATCTTAAAACTCTAAACCAAAGTTTCATTTTTATTCTCTCAGAATAATCTAGGATTCGTCTAAAAATAGTGCCAGACTACTCGCCTTGTCGTGAGGAATCGAATAAGATTCTCATCAACTCTGTTGGTACCTTATGAAAAAAAAAGCGTTTTACGTTCTTAACCGCCCCCCCAAAAAAAGTTTTTTCGTGAATTTCTGGAAATTTTCTAAAAGAAAGTGAAACCAATGGTCAGTTCGCCACAAATAGACCGAGGCACAATGAATGACAACTTACTTAGACTGAATGGTGGATCGAAAGATGTCCTAATTAACGAACGGACGGACAAACGGGCTCACGCAGGTTCCCCAATTAATACAGTATGCAGGATATTAATCTCAAAATACTGAGTGTTACGATAATTGTGAAGTATTCATTCGACAGGTCAGGATATTTTCGATTCGGAAGAGAGAACGTTGTTACAACAAGGCTCCCGATACTTTCTCCAAGCTCACCTAGCATGTTAATGAGGAGAAAGAGAGGATGGCTCGGTGCGACGCAGAGACCAAGATTTTCAACACGCGATGTGAGGGTCAACTGGAAGAAACCTTGCGAGATGCTGCAACATTCCTTTCTCCTGATATTTTCTTGGAACGCCTGCATGACGTGCTGTTCACGTAATTGGTAGTTAATTTTTCTGATGATACGGTACGTTCTGATGTGCTTCATTCTTATAACATTTTAGAGCAAGGTCGTTAAGCGGTCATCATGTCGCACTTTTCAATGAAATTTTATAAACCCCAAACCTGTAGATTATGGTTAAGTTTTGATACTGACCTATCCTGTTCATGTATGGGGAGGAAAAAAGATAATCAAAGAGGCATCGCATTCAAAGGAATTATTCGTGATTTCCCAAAGCATTTGTTGAACAAATGTGAAGTTATCATGCGGAAAAGTACGAAAATTGGAATAACAATTATATTGAAAATATGTGATCAGACTCAAAGTAAAGACCAGAAAAGAAAAAAATAATGTACTTGTAAATATTTAATATGAGCAGTGTCCCTGAGTTCGCTTCTGCAACACAGTGTAAATGAAATACGGTTGAGGAAATCACTTAAGAAATTGTAAACCCTCAAATCTCTTTTAATTTTATTCCTACAGAAGCATTGACGAAATGTTTAGTTTTTCGCGCTTGCTCAAATTATTTCTTGTGCTTTTTTATTCAATTTAAAGTATATCTTCGTGAAATCAGAGAGCGTGCCCCATTTCTTTTCGTCATGGAGTGTGGTCAACATATTTTCTTTATCAGTGTTTTGCTCAGTATAAACGCATTTCCGATGAATAATAATTTGGTTTGTAGAATGTCACCCATATTCAGGAAACCACGACCGGAATAAGTTCAACAATAATCTACAGGATTTCCTACACCGAGATTTCGAAGATCTTACCGCAGATTTTACGCGTCTATGAGTGTATTTCCAACTATGTTTTCATGCTTCCCTCCATCTCTCTTGCTTTCGCTCTCTTCCTGACTTTCCTTTTGCCTCTCTCCTATTTCACTCTCCTTTCATTTTTCGGTTTCCCCTCAATTACTTCTCTCTCTTCTCCCCTCCCCTCCTCTTCTCCCCCCTCTCTCTCAATCAGTTCGTTTTCTTTTTCGCTCATTTGTCTTCCTTCACCTTTTTAAAATGTTTTTGAAGATTTCTTTTTGCATCCATGGATCCATTGATTCATCGCTTATGTCATTTTCAGCACATTCATTTCGGGAGCATTTAATTTTTCTTAAGCCATTTTTATTTTTGTATATCCTAAGATCTACGTTGAATGGTTTCGTTATCGGCAACTTTCACTTTCCTTATTTCACCGTCAGTGTTTTCCAATCCTACTAGGGTTTCTACTGTTGTCATTAGTAGACAGCTCTCGACACTTTCATTTACTGTGTATTTTTGATGTTTGTCTTAGTGTTTAGCACACATGCAAACGTGACTGGTTCTGCAAAACTTTCTTTTATGGTTTTGTTTGGTAACTTCCATTTATGTATCAAACATTCCTAGCACGTAGGCACTCCTTAATCGGATTTTCAGATTTAATGTTTTTGGGAATTATCTTCTCATTTGAAAACTTCATATCTTTGATATATTCACGAATTTAAAAATAGTTTAAGAATTCACTTTAAACTAAATTAAAATAAATTGTGAAGTTAATTAATTTTTATGTGCTGCATCTTCAATGTAATTTGTGTTCATTTCGTAATAATTATTTATTTATCTTAAACAGTAAAAACTCTTTGTAATGTATGAGGGTGGAGTAAAATTTGCACACGTTAAGGTCCGGATTCCCTACCTCTTTCGTTTGCTATTCTTACTTGAATTATGATGAACTATACATCTGATTGTATAATATTGCTGCCAAAATTACAATCCCTTCCCCCTGACACTACTTCTCTCCCTAGTACTGAAAATGAAGCTGAGAAAATTGCGCGCAGTGTAGCTAATCTACATTCAGAAGGAAAACACGAGGGCATCTGAGCATTTGTCCAAAAGATCAAGGAAAACAGGATCCAGGTTGAGGTGGAAGTCATGAAGAAGTACAATACTTGAAGTCGTAGGCTTCCGCGGCCAGAGTCATGTGCGTGATCTGGACTGTCCGGGTGACGCCGCGTCTTCGCCTTCGACGCGGCGTCACCCGGGCAGCCCAGATCACGCAAGTACAATACTTGTTATAGGTATGTTTTGTCTTTTTGAACTAAACAGTTAAACTGGCCATTAGTGCTTTAGTACTAATAAAAAAAAGAATTTCCGGTTTTGGTTCTCAGAATGCCTAATTGTATACAACAGTTAAGGAACAGGAACTATTTTGCTTGATTCTTCAACTTTTGTATCGATTTCATTGTATCGTGCCATCTGGCAATGAGTTGTGTATATTAATGTATGATATGTGGATATCTTGTAGTGAGGCATTGCTACAATGATCAATACAACTCCCTGGTCGCGTGTTGTAATAATAAATATCTGTATTTCATCCAATTGTTCAGATGCGCGCAGTGAAGCTACATTTTCCTTCTATTTGTGGCGAGCCCTCATGAACGTACCTGCATCAATTGAGGTCACTGCAGTGCCTCTGATCGGGAGGTCCTAGCGTTCAATTCCCGACAGTGACAGGATCACCAACTAGATAGCTAGGTCAAATTCAGTCGCTGCCAGGAGGAGAATTCTAGGGGCCGGCTACCTGATCGGTAGTTTCCCGTGGTTCCTCCGAACAACGCGAAGCGAAAGCCACATCACTACCTAAACAAAAGGGCCACGGATAGCACGCGATCTTTTTTTCACCTTCGTTATCCTATTCTCACCCCTTATTTACTCACACGTATACTTACATGCACTACATTACTACACAGTCAGGAGACCAGTCAGGAGTTCAGAGCTTGTGCCGGCTGGAGCAGTGCCACGCTGATAGGAGATACTTTCTAGGGGAAACCCAGCTAACCTACGTGTAGGTTGGCTCCGAATGTCGCTATCCAGCGGGGTAAGATCAACGCCACCCTACGCGATAAAAACATGCATTACATTTGCGGTACTAATGACCTTAGCAGTTGACGCGCCCGGAAACACTAATCAAACAATCTGTTCGCATGTGCATAGTGAAGTTCTATTTCCCTTTCATTTATGGCGAGTCCCCATGCACGCGCCGGTGCCCCATTGGAGGAAGATACCTGATAAGCGAAAACACCCACAGACGACGTGTAGGTCGGCGCCGGATCTCGCCATCCAGCGGGAAAAGATCACAGCCACCTGCCGCGATAAAAACCTGCTCTACACTGACGAGGCTCTTGACCTTAGCAGCTTACGCGCCAGCAAACACCAATCAATAAATCAACCCAACTCTTCCCATGTGCATAGTATTTGTTTCTTTCCTAGTGCTTTTTTCCAGCCGACAACCTGTTACCCTTTACGTCCCGATGGGACGCGTATTCGACCGTACACTGAACACCAACACTCTTGCGGGCTCCTCTGATATGGCGTCAGCAGAACGCGAGGCCCTCCGCGACAATGCATACGTGAGAGACACGGGGTAAAAAAACCACGCCCAAGGCGGAACTCGAACCCGCGACCCTTCGGTCCGATGCGCCGAGTCGGTTCACGGTCTTAACCAAGTCGACCATCATGCGCTTTGTGGGGCTCCGTTTGTCTTGTATTCGTGACGAGTGCTGACGTACGCAACTTTGGCCTGCTTCAGTGTCCATCCTGGAGCGGCGCTGCAGCGCGCGTGGTGGCATCTGCCGTCCCAAGCAGAAGTGCGGCCGCGCGCTGTGGGAGGAGACGGCCGAGGACTGCGCCAGCGACGAGACCTGCTGCGTGCTGGTCTCGTGAACGCCCACGCCACTCCACGCCGCTCCACGCCGTTCGCGCCTCGCCGCCGGCTACTCCTTTCTTCCCGGCAGCTCCTTCTCGGTTGACAAAAAGCCTATACGCTGCTAATGGTTTTTCTCTTGCTCTTCCGGAGAAACGGAACTTGCGTGACTTCGGGTTTCGGACTTGTTCTCGAAGCGGATATCTAGAAGATATCTGCCATGTTTATTTCATTTCAGTTCTTGAGGGATAAACAGCCACATTTCCAATTTTGTTGAAATTGAGTTAATTACGTATAATAGCTTTCTGGTCTGTATACTTTAATGTCGTAAGAGATGTCTCTTCCGACTCGTAAGTAAGTCAACGCTTCATTGGGCATTGTTGGTGCAGCATACAACGGTGTATAGGTGCATTATGCATATCTGATTGTTTTCACCGTGAAACAATAGTGTTTAATTTTCATTTATTTGAAGCTAGTTGAAGTGGAATTATTATCATTTTCTCTCAGATGTTGTTTTTCTGTCAACATTTGATTACATAGGTACTATTTTGTATTCGATAACATTTAATTACATCAGCAGCTTACGTAAATTGGTTCCGTTGAAGTAAGTACAAGGAGGAAATATATACGTGGGTCAGAAATTTTTCAGTAGAAACATTAAGCTCTCCCCAGAAAAAAATTGTATCAAATAACTTTTAGTGAAACTAATCTCCTTTTTGAAACACTTCGCCACTGAAATATAATTCCGTCCATTAGTTACCACATAGTAATTATGTACCAACGGAGCATTTTCACAAATGATTTTGAACTAATTTAGATAGCAAATATTAATAACAGCAATTTTTTAATAAGTTTTACATCGCACCCAAAAACAAATTACGGTGCCTAGTAAATCATTGTAAGACGCTAGGAAATCTACGAATAGGAAGTAAATAAAGCAACAATGTCTTTTCTCAATGAGGAAGGAGCTCCTTCTTGAGTGACTAATTGTTCCTTTGTCGAACGTTCTTTATTCAAAAATTTAAGTTTTTTTAATTTTTAATTGTATATGCAAAATAATTTATTAATTCATTTCTGTGACTATGGGAAATATTTATTTTCCCGGATAAGTATATCGTTTTTCATCAGTAAATATTTATTCTGTATACGTAATTAATATTTACCTCTTTTATTTGCACTGTTTTTGGTACTTGAAGCTTAAATTCTTAGTTTCCCCGTAGCCCACCTAGCATTGTTTGTTGACGTCATTTATTCGTGCTGCAGTTGCGTCCTTTGTTTGTAATTTTAATATTTTCTGATAAAGTAGTTTTTAAACAGTACTTTCTGGGCAACTTTTTATTACTTCTTATTTTTTCTTCCATGGAGTAGCAGGTAGTTGTGTATTATTTGTAGGTTGGTAGAGCTATTTTTGTAGTTTTACAACCATTTACAACACTAGTTATTTATTTCACCCGGCGCAATGACATTTTTAGTTATGCGCTTGATATTTGACTTACTGCCAAATATATCATTTGCACTGAATTGTTTCCTTGTATTGTTTGTTTCTGTTAAATTATAACAATAAAAATATTGTCGCAATGAAACTGTTTTTCTCTCATTTATAAGTTTATTTTTCAGAATGTTTTATTAACCTCCTAAAGCTGAATGCTTGTTATATAACCTTTCAATGTGTAAATATTATTATACTGAATAAAATATAACTTTATCCTCATATTTGCACAGATAGAGATAGTGCAAAACGATTTTCACAGAAGCTTACGAGAAACTGACGCTTCTCGAGAGTTATTTTTAAAGTAATTTGTAGATATCTAAAAAGTATTCAAGGTGTTATCCAACATATGTTCATTATTAAATTCGTCATTTTATAGCCGCGATAGCAGATTTAATAATTAAGTATGGTTCTATTAAAAAAAGAAAATTGTCTTGACAGTTTTGGGAGATTGGATGCCGTATAGACATCGCTGCACATATGAGCAAACAGCAATGAAATATTTTTAATTTTACGAGATGTAGTAAGATAGTCTTGTAAAGTCGATACGGATGGCCGAGATCGATAAGGCCGTTGTATTGTAGCAATCTCGGGCCGAAGGATCGCGGGCTCGAGTCCCGCCTCGAACATAGTTGTATTTGTATTCGTTCTTTCCCCTGTCATCATCACCATTTCACTTCATATAGTATTCAGATACCTTTAACATTAAACCTATAATGGTCGCTAATGCCTCGTAGTTAATGCGATCTTAAGTTTAAAAAATCTTGAACATTTTTAACATGACTAATAGTCTATTAAAAGAATTTTCAGTCGAGTTTGTACGTAATAGAGTAGTTTAAACGTCAAACTTGTGGAATGCCGTCAAAGAGAATGTCGGCGAAAGGGAGCTGAATGTAAAACACCTTCCGGATAGTTTGTTAGCTTCAAGCGGCCTGACCTTTCACGAGACAGAGAGAGTGGAGCGAAGGGAAAGTCGATTATCGCCCAGATCTACCCATCGATTCGTTCATTGTACGCGACATTTTCTAGTCAGTGCAATAGTCTGCGCAAACATAGTCCAGTTCTGCAAAGCAACGCGTGGAGTAGGACGTGGCCCGTTTTGTTCGGAGGTTAGTTGCAATTGCGCTTAGGTTGTGCTCTCATGTACGCATTTAAACTCGTATATGATTTTATAATTTGCAATGGTGTGTGTGCGCGGGGGGGCTTCTGTGGAAAAGCTTAATTTAACATTTTTTGTATCTGCGTTAATAACAATTAATTAAGGCTATTGTACTTCGCCATTGAATCATTACCACAATTTCAATCATTTTAATTTCACAATAAATTGTTACGTTTTCTCTAGATTCTGTACTACTCGATAAAGGTATGGGAAGTGTAGTGAGACTTTTTTAAAATGTCATATGTACTCAATAACTCATTTATCTGCTTTGTAAGATTTTACAATTAATTGAGGGAAAATGCAATCATAGTGAACTGAAGCTTGTACTTTCATTTCCAAACCTAAATCTGAATACTTGTTCGCCGAAGGTTTGTTAAGTCCAGAAAAAGGGGCGACTGCAAATCGTTGCTGTGGCAACACGTGGACAGTGACCTCAGCGACCGCCGAGAACCGATTCACCTTCAGTCGCCTTCTAGTGGAATCAACAGGTGAGTCAGCACACTTCGCGCTTGCGTTGGGCGAGTAGTGAATAGTAGTGAGGGGACCTATGAACGGCGCGATTATTTGGGCTGACGGGGCGAGAAGTTGAAGTGTATATTCTCGCTTTTCTTGGTAGTCCTCCGTCCTCCGTAGTCGTCCGAAGACTTCGTGTGCGACCAAACCAACAAAGAAATCTTGAAGTGCAATGTATATCTTATTCTGATAGTTTTGTAAATCGCTAGTTAATTGTCATCTCAACTCTTTATGATTCGTAGATCACCGTAGAAATGCATTGAAAACTATATGATTTCGTGTAATAACTGCTATTTTAAAGTAGTAATAGTTATTTATGGACGACTAAATGCATGTTTGAAATAATTTCTTAATTTCAAGTGCATTTCATATTTTGAAGTTGGCCCTACTTTAAAAAACTTCTTTCTATACAACATGAGCATAGTCACGAATGCATAAGGCGCTCCGCAAAATTAAAATATCTGTTTACTTCCGTTGGAAGTAGGACCTGCTGAGGAGGCTTGGTGCATCAGCTGATGTCACAGCTGGACCTCTGACAGGGAAGTCCTAGGATTCGAGGCCCTATGGTATCAGGATTGTCGACACTACGCTACATAGCTAGGCTGAGTCCAGCCGCTGCCTGGAGGGGAGTTCTAGTGAATAGTTGCACTGATCGGTAGTTTTCTGTGGTTTCTCTGCACAATATCAGGTGAATTCCGAGCATACCCTAACAAACTGGGCCACGGGCCGCGCGCGATCTTTCCTTCCTATTGCTTCTCATATCCTCACCCTTATTTACACACACATTTACATACACAACACTACTACACATATCGGGAGATCAGTCGGGGGCATAGAGCTGATCTTGTTCCGCTGGTGGGAACGTGATGGGGAAAGCAACCGGGACGTGTACGTCGGTGTTGGATTTAACAATACAGTGAAGAATTACAAAGCCACGTGCATACATGGGCTGGACTTACGGGACCATGGCGGTTGACGAGCCTCGAAATACGAAATAATCATAAGTTGAAAATCGAAATAATCGTTATTCAATTAATCTCCTTGTAGGCAGGATGAGCTTTTTTTCTATGAAATGAATAGTGGCGCATTTGTTCTTTAATTGACGGGAAAGTTACAGCAGATTATAAACTATACAATTTTCTGGTAACGTTTGGGATATCACTAAGTGAATATCAATAATTAATGTATTAGTCACTAACACGAAAGAAATAAACCGAGGCATTTAAAACAATTTGTATTGTAAAATATATTTCTTAAAAAGGGCAATACTAACGGTATAGTGGCCATATCTGAGAAAATTACATTTCTCTCCGTGTTAAGCTTCCGGTAACTATAATAAGCAATATACTTCCGTTCGCAGATTAAAAGAATTTCCGGTAAATATTCCATCAATGAAATAGGCTACTCACCAAAAAGGCCAGGACAGAGAAAAAATAAAAGAAAAACATAGAGCCCTTTTTTAAAAGAAAATTGTTTTTGAAATGCTTGCATTTCACTCAAAATTACATATTTTTGAAACTTTGACATGACCTTATATGAATATGTATGTTTGACGAACATATTTCGTTAAGGAAAAAGCTATATCTACTATCTACAATATTGTAGTAGTAGGAAGATACCGAAAATATTATGAACATTTATAATTTCTGATAGTTGAGTGAATTTAGTAAAAGTTTCGGCAGTTCCATTGAGGAATATCAATTTGAAGAAAATTGTCTGAATGGTTAAAGCGCAACGGTTGACCACAGGCAGCAGGGCTAACGGACGGATAGACAGATAAATAAAAACGGACGGGCAGATGGAGGGACTGACAGGCGGACCGACGGACGCACCGACAGACGGACGGACAACCAGACAGACAGACAGGCAGACAAAAGGACGGACGGACATATGAAAGAGAGACGGACATGAAAGAGAGACGGACAGACAGACAGAAGGACGGACGTTTGGCTATCAAATAATTTTTGGGATCAAGAGAGAACAAAACGTGGTTTTTGGCTAAATAACTTGTTAGAATATACGAGGGTTGGTCAGAAAGTAATACCCCACGTTTTCCTCTTCATACAATAATAATGGTAAACAGTTGTAGTTGGTAACCCTTCAAAGTTTTGTATTTCCAGCATTAGTGTACGAAGTTTCAAGTGTAGCGTCGTGTCGCGCTACAAAACGGAAACAAACACGTGGCACTCGGCGGGCATCGCCGGATGTTGAACAAAGGGCGGAGTGATGACGCACTGGGACTTTCCGTGGATGTTGCGTGGCCAGGGCGGCGGTGAAGAGGAGGCAATTGGGGCGGCGGGTAGCGTCAATGGGCCTATATAAGGCCAGGAGAACAATGCCCCAGTCTTCTTGTTCTAGCAGCGTTGGCGACAGGTGATCCGCATGTCTGTGCGTGTAGGTGCACTAGGTCGAGGGGCCGGCAATTCATTGTCGTGACTTGCGAGACGCGTAGATGGTCTCGAGGTAGTGCGGTGCTTCACGCAAGGGGCAACGGTAGTATGCTGCGGTGTGGTAGCCGTTCGTAAATTATCTCTCCTTGTAGTGAGTCTATTTAGTTTACTGTAAGCAGTGTAGTTGTTTAATTGAGACTACGGTCTAGATAGTGAATTAATCTACTGTTTTACAAACCACTCTCGTCTGTGTTCCGATTACACCCGTATGACGCCACACAAGGCTCTCTTTCAGATGACAGTTCCTTAACGAACTGTTAAAACGGCGCCTGTAGAAGACGTACGTTACAAACGGGGAGCTGTGATTGAACACAAACGCTTGTGTGCAGTGTATGCCACCTCTGTTGTCGCCAGGAGTACCGTTGGACGTTTAAGTAAACGCGTTAGAGCTTTGGAAAGTGAACAATGCGATCTCCATAATTCGCCGCGCTCCGGGCATCCCGCCTCAGCGACGAGTCCTGACATGCTGGTCTCTGTCTTTTGGGATATTGATGGTATCATTCATGTTGATGTTATACCCAAAGACATTACCATCAGTCAAATTCTTACATCAACACTATACCCTAATACCGTAAAGAAGCATTTCCCGCGAGTGCAATCCCAGAAGAATGGCGCACAATGCTTGCTCTTGCACGAAAACACACGCCTACACACAAGTGTCGCAAAAAGAGGAGCACCAAAAAATGGACTGTGCTTCCCTATCCGCCATACAGTCCAGATTTAGCCTCCCTGCGATTTCCATCTCTTTGAGTCACTGAAAAACGCTATACGTGGAGGGAAAGTTGAAGATGGCCCGAAATGAAGGAAAGGCAACGTTGTCAGGTAAAGATTGGTAAAGGCAAGGCAAGTGTACCCTTCTTTCATGCTGCCGCAAGTCTCTACACTTGTAGAATGGAAATTATATGGAAAAATAGAGCCAGTAGAATAACCATGCACAACATATTGTGTGCAAATTTCAAGTTCTTCCAATAAGTATTGCTGAAAAAAAAAGAGGGTCATTACTTTCTCATCGACCCTCGTATTTCTTATATACGAATAAGATTTATTCATTTTTAGGTATCAGGGTTTCAAAATACTACTTTTTCTATCAAAAATAGCGGATTTTCGCCCCAGTATTTCAATATGTCCTCTTTAAATGTGTACATAAGTACAGAATATGACGAAAAAGTAAAAACATGACACAATATTAAAATATTTTGAATACTATTCAATTTTAAACTATATTAGTATACTGTTCGTCTCGTCATAAAGTACGCAAATGGTAAGAACGTCGTTATCATGACCTTTAGCATGTTCTCTTCATTGTTCTCCCCTGGTATGGTTGAATGCTGTTCGAACATGCGGGTGCCCGCGTTGCTTCTCATACATTAGTATTGCTTCCGGTTCGTATACACACGCAACAAAAAAGTTGTCACGAAGTTCATACTTTAAAGTATAGTCATATTTTTAATAATTAAACATCCAATTCATTTGGGTCGATCGTTTCAAACATTATCAGAACCGATTTCTCAACTGCCTCACCATTCCAGAACCCCCCCCCCACACACACACACGTAGCAAACTAAGGAAAATGAAAGCAGCTCACCCGAACCAAAATAGTTGAAAGTGGTTTCATAACAGTATACAGTTGCTAGTTAGAAACTTTTCATTATATTTGTCCAATTATACCATTATGTACTCAAATATAAAATGCATTGAAGGTAGATAAAGTTATATAAGCAGCAAGACAGTAAAATAAGTTATCGCGCATGGTAACAAAACACTGCTTGTCTGTCTTTTTGTCCGACCCCCGGTCTTGTTTTTTCTACGTTTTCTGTTTTGTCTATCTGACTTTGATTGTTCGTCTGATTTTATTCGTTTTTTGTTTCGTCTGTTTTTATTCGTTTCTTGTTCGTTGGATTTTGCTAATGTGTCTTTGTCAGCGTGTTTTTGTCAGCGTGTTTTTGTCATTGTGTTTTGTTGGTCTAATTTATGGCCGCCTGTCTAATTTTTGGCCGTGTGTCTGTTTGGCCGTGTGTCTGTTTGGCCGTGTGTCTGTTTGGCCGTGTGTCTGTTTG